TGATTGCTGCTAGAAGAGGAAGAGCTGACCCTCCTAAAACAAAGACCTCTAGATAGGCTGACTAGATTCACCAGAAGGGCAAGTAGTGGGGAATGGCTGGGGGTGCTGACAGTACAGCAGACAGCAGCAGGGATATCAGAGTATAAGGCTCTAGTGGGGGGAGGGAGGCTCTGGGAAGGTGCCATCTGGGAAGTGGGTGTATAGTTGAATAAGATGGTTTGGGATGTTCTGTGTGATTCACACACACACACAGTTTTGTTTTGTTTTGTTTTGTTCTACAGGGAAACCCCCAGCTGGCCTGAAGCTCACTATGTAGACCAGGCTGGCCTCGAACTGCCTCCGCCTGTCCCTGCCTCCCAAGTGCTGGGACTATAGGCATGCGCTATCATGCCTGGCAAAATCAACAAATTTTTTAAAATGTATTATATTTGAGGAGGAAGCATGGAAATTTACATCATGCTAATTAGTAGAGGTGATAAACATTACCATTGAAATCTACCCGATGACTTTATAGACATACACAGGTGCCAAAGATCCAAGTGCAACCAATTATGACTAGTAATAATCAGATACATACAGATTAGAGATGCATGTGCCAACATCTCAGTGTTAGTAGCGAAAACAATGAGTCTTTCTGCAAGGAACAATATATTCTAAAATGAAATGGAGATCTTTTTTAAAGATTAAAAAACTCATTGAATTTTATGTCTTACAGGGCTTATACTGAGTTCAGTATTTATTTAACTGTATTAACTCAACTGTGAACCTAGAAGCTTGCACCCACTTGTGAAAGAGATGTACTCTTGCTCTGGATTGTGTTACTGAAAATGTTAAAGCTGTAGTGAAATGCTTCTTCTAATCATGTAGTTATTAAGAATTTTTAAAAAATGATTAAAAAAAAAGTTAAAGCATGAGACTGGAAAGATGGCTTAGCAGTTAAGATTAGCCCTGGCTGCTCTTGCAGAGAACCTGGGTTCCATTGCCAGCACCCACATGGCAGCTAACAACTGTCTTTAACTCCAGTTCCAGAGGATCTGACAACTTCTTCTGGTCTCTGTGGGCATTGCATGCACAGGTTAATTTATATTTATATACATGTACATAAAATATCATACACATAAAAAATAAAAGAATTAAAGCATATACTATCATAGCTACTTTGTTTAGCCACTTTTACTTTTTTGTTTACTTCTGTAGCTTTTCTGCAGTCTTTAACTCCAGTTCCAGAGGATCTGACAACTTCTTCTGGTCTCTGTGGGCATTGCATGCACAGGTTAATTTATATTTATATACATGTACATAAAATATCATACACATAAAAAATAAAAGAATTAAAGCATATACTATCATAGCTACTTTGTTTAGCCACTTTTACTTTTTTGTTTACTTCTGTAGCTTTTCTGCAGTTAGATAAAAAGGGACCACAAAAACCTCACTTTGATCAGCCTTCAGTAATACCTAGGAAAAACTACTCTTTCACAAGAGAAGAAGTGAGACAGATCGATCGGGAAAATCAGAGGCTTTTGAAAGAACTGTCAAGACAGGCTGAAAAACCAGGAAACAAAAGTGGGATTCCTGGAAGATCGATTGGCCACCCCCCTAAATTATACCATAGTGCTCTCAACAGACAGAGGGAACAGCAAAGGATTGAAAGAGAAAATTTGGTAAGTAAAATCTTTTAGTAATCAAGGAAAATGCATTTGTACTGATTTATAAGTACCACTCAGTAAACAGAAGTATAGCCAGGTTTTCGTATGATTACATAAAAGCAGGTCTGTGTGGCATAATGTCTGTGGTGAGTCTAGAAGGTGCAGTATGTGTTTCATCTGGCACAGTGTAAATTAAGGGCCCTATTAAAGGAAAACACTGAAAGCTCCATTGTTTCTTGACTAGATAAGTCACTGCAAAGTGATAGGAAATGGTAATCCAGGGTCAGATGCACTGTTTACTCTGTGAAGTATTCAGTTACTAAACCTGTTTCACCTCATTATATCCTGGAAAGGTAAAATCAGTGTTACATATATGAC